AAACAGAAAGGCAAGAAGAATATTTCCATTTTCTACAGTTTTGCAAACACAGCAATAATGAATTTTGAAATAATTTTCATTCAGCTGTCGCTTGCCTAATGGATAAACAAGAGATGTTAAAACCAGGCCAAAAAATAATCAGTCTTCTTGAGACTTCCAGAATATTTCCTTCACTGTATAATTTTGGACTCTTACAAGAAACATACACAGGACAACAATCAAATCCCAATAATATATAAAAATAAAAATAATTTGAGCCAACTTCAAATGAATGAAAGTCTTCAGAGAGTGAAAATCACATGAAATTTCTCAGAAATACATTTTTGTTTTTATTTTTACTTTTGTTTGGGTTTGGGAGCCTAGTCATGTTGCTGGCTTTCCAGTCATTTTACAGCATCACCTTCCATCATCATATTTCTTTCCTGAGGACGTACATTAAGCCTATTGAATTGAAGGCCCAACAGCTAAAAAAGATTTGGATTTTATTATTTTTTATTGAATATAAATTAGATCTGATTCACGTTTGATGGATAAATTTTAACTGCCCTTTTGCCTTATTTTTTAACTAAATGCAAATTTAAAAGAAATAAAAATTTTAAAAAATCAAAGGAAAAAAGGTGAATTATACACATAAGTACTCAAAACAGAGTCACAAAAATGTGCATCCACAAAGACGTTGGCAATAGCTGGAATCCTATAGCTGCAAACACTGTTTAACATAACGATCCATTTATGGTCGGTTTGGCACAACCATGTGCAGAACAAACATAGAATGGTTTTCTCCTGATTTTCTGAGGCCCCCCATTCCCATCAGATTTTTAGGCAAAGTCAGAGAAATGATCATGGCCCCAGTTTTTGAAATGAAGTTATTAACAATTGTCAGCTGAGCTGAGTGTATAAAGATAAAACTAAAACTAGAAAAATGCCTGTGAGAGAAAGGAGAAAGAGAGCTAAATTAGCAATCACAAAACATAAAGCTTATATCATCTGAAAGAACCTCCTGATTTGCTTGGAAGAAGAAATAATTGCCAAAGGCCATCCACTGAAATTCCATTCATTTCTATAGCTGACTTGCTGCAACACTTTCTCCTTAAAACTATTTGAGGAAACAGTTCTGTTGGGTTCTCATGAGACAATGCAGAGAATGTTAAGAAATAAGGACCTTTGCTTAAAAATTTTCTCCATCAAGAGTACAAGGGTATTGCCCTGCTAAAGGCATCAGCCACAATCATTTGCATTTTCAGCCTTTCTCACAATTCTGTGTTGTGTAGATCCTCTAACATAATTGATCGGGGCTCCATAAACACCTGCACAGACTTGGGTGCTTTGTGGTTTCAAAAGTCTGCTTTAAGTACTCCACTTGAAGCTCTCAAGTAGAGAACTATAATTGCCTACATATTGGTAGATTTTCCATTGTCTGTAAGGAATCTGACTCAAGGCATTTTCAGTCAGAGGTATGGTCTCTGTTTCCAGGGTCACTTGCTCCTTTCTCTCATTTGGGGGTGTTTGCATAGGGACTGTTTAGACTTTTGCATCTTCAGACCCAAGACCAATTACCAGCCATGTAATACACACAATAAAAAAAGTCCTGCTTCACTGGGTTTCTCAGTATCATAGATTTCTCTCTGTATGTCAGTTGATAGAAAACCCCCTCCTAAAACCTAAATATAAAAGGATTCTTACTGCTAAGGTTGCATTGTATTTCACCTAAAAGCATATATTTAGGGCAACCTTATAAAAGTGTTACCTACCAGGTGAGAGGAACCTCTCTTGCTGCTGTGCACCAGACTAACCAGAAGTCAAGGCAAAGGAAGTCTCTAGTCAATTTTGACTAGTCTCTGACTAGTCTCTTTTGCTTCCTCACCCACACAGAAAATGTGCATCCTTTCCAGAAACAAGTTTTGTAGGACACTGTAATTACCATGAGATACAAACAGATCCTCAGGCAAACAAAAATAATTGTCCTTAAAATTCCCCGGTCTCCTGCAGGAAAGATTAAACTTGGCTTAACATTTCAAATGACAGTAACTTTTAGTGTTGATGTCTTTAGCACAAAGACTTTTCCTAATATACAAAGGCTTTGATGTTAAAGAAGGGTGTTTCCCTTCACAGTAAAGAATAAGCACAGGCTTCCAGCCAGTCTGTAATGGGAAGCTGCATATGTTAGGAAATCCTGACTCCCAGTGGCAAAGGACTAAAATGCTTCTGAGACTCAGTCTGCCTAAATGTAAGGTCATTATTAACAACTCCAGCCATAAAGAATCATGACAACTAAGCATTTAGAAATAGGGGTAATGATGCAGAAAATTCAAGCAGAATCAGCACTCCGGGATCTCAAAAATGCATGATTAAAAACTTCAAACCTACATTAAATGAGTATTACATCCCTCTGCACTTTCTAGTATGTTTTTGCAGCTCAGTCTGAATTGATTTTTTAAACAATAAAGCTCCATGAAATGAAAGATAGGTTTGAAATTCAAACCATGACTGCTACTGCATGTGACTGCTACATTTACCTTGACTAATTCACTATATTCTACATGGGTCATTAGATCTAATAATTTAAAATCCTTGTTAATGCTTTGTGGAGTCTGTAGTTGCCTACAGTAATCTTCACCTTCCTAGAGAAGAGACCCTTCTCTAGGACTGTACTGATATGATCCATGTTTCACCTTTTGTGTTTTTTTAACTGGGACTCAGAACTCTAGGGTCCCTACGAATCAAAAACTCATTCATTCTGATTCAAATATTTCAACCCTGGTTTTGACCAGACCAGAACAGAGATGACAGAGCAGGATGATCCAGCAATTTTTCTGCTAGCTCTGCATGCTCTGTGCAATGCAAGGAGAATAGCAGTATTTCCAGGAATAAATCCAAGATGAAGTGGAGAAAATAGAATACTTTGCAACCAGGGCAGGAAAACTCAACCATATTTAACAGGTATTATACTGCTGGTAATACTACACAGAATTTCAGGACAAGAAACAAATATTTAAGATTCAAGGAGCCATTAAATTAGGAAATGAATTAATCTTAGACGAATGAGGTCTGTCTCAAAATGGTCTGCTGAAACACTGATTGAACACAAGCACTGGCCTGACTTATAAGAGAGTGATGAACTATTAACAGTAACAAGAACGGTGACCACATGAGCCAAAGCACACCCTGCTTATGCCCTGATATCACATGAGAAGTGTGAAGAGGCCAAACCATAAATCTCATAATATGCCATGGCCTTGTCCAGTATGTCTGAAGTGCTACGTCAGTATCAGACGATAAAGCACATCTGTAGTTACTATACCACAAAAGCAGAGCAAACAGTACTACATCAGTACCTGAAATGCTAATCCCTGAGTAGATATGACAGACAAGCAGCAGACTCACAGATGACTTGCTTTTGTTTCTTCTTGGAAGTCTGGTGAGTTTAAACCCTATCAGCCCAAGAACTGATGGACCAAGTGTAACATAAGCCTGGCTTTTCATGTACATGGAGCAAACTAGATCCAAAATTCCTCTGACATCACAGCAGTCAGTTAAAAGGTGAGGGTCTTCATCTTTCAAGATGGTCAGTCATTCAAAACAACTCATCTACTCAAAATACATATAGAGACTTCAGAGAAGCCTGGATATTCATTCAGAAGAGGATAAACTCGAGTTCCACATCTGCTTGCCTCTCAATACAAGCTTGTGAAACAAAAGGTCTGTGTCCTGGCATCAACAAAGTAGTGTTCTGAGACCTCATGGCTGCCAGCTTCTTTATACAGCCCCAGACAGCTTTTGAGCTTAAGAGACTTTGCAGAGTCCTGTATCTAGGCATATACCTTGGAAACAAGAGTATGGAACCTGCAGATACTGTAATTTCTCTCTGGACCTCAGCCTGCTGAATTTTATCCAATGAACCACCTACTGGGATCTCTACATAAAACTAAACAGAGGAAACCACATTCCGCTAGCCTTCCAAAACACAAAACCTGTTCTCCTTAGAATCCTGTATCATATGCTACCAAGTGTGGAGTCCTTAAATTAGCTGTGACTCATTATCAGCCCATGCCTGAGCTCAGGACATCAGAAAGAAATTCAATCCTTGACATCAGAACTCATACTCTAGAAGACTGTGCCCATCAAACAAGGCTTGCCTTCACATCAGCACACAACTCCAGAGGAACCTACACCAGAAGAATATCAGAGAATTTTGTATCCTGACATCAGAGCAGCAAGACAGCAGTGCTGAGCCAGAGCCTCTGAAGGCACACAAATATTAAAACAGCAGGATCAGATTTATTTATCTACAAGCCACACACAAGTGTGTGCTTCTACTTCAGCCAGCAAGATGATGTGCCAAACTATGAGCTCATGTGCTGTGGGCTTGGGATATGTCCCACAGAGCAGTAGCTGAGCACAGCTTCAACCAAAGGGACCACCTGGAGAGGATGGTGCACCTCAGCATGGATAAAGATGGCTTACAGTCATCCCACAAATGCCAAAAATAATGAACAAATGTTCCACAAAATCTATCCGCCTCTAGCCAAGTTTAAAAAAAAGGACAGCAGTGGGTTTACTCTTTCTTACAGCATAATGCAGCCATTCACGTTATAGCTGGCCATTTAATGGGATTTACTCTTACACAACCCGTACAGCACAAACGAAGCAGAACAATGACAGAGGCTGCAATCTAGAAATTCACTGGTTCTTGCAGCCTTCACATGGATAAAATATCACCAGGTGCTCACACAGAAAATTAGCTCAGCATCATAAAAAGAGGACTTCGCCCAGAGACATGACAAAAATATTTAGGCAATTCTGATGCCCGCTCTCCCTGTATTGATCCCATCCCATTCCCCTGACCTATGTATTCATCAGACCTTTCCCATTTATTATTAATACTGCAACTCAGCGAGTAGACAGGAGACAGCATTTTCCCTTCTCTCCCATGGGTTTTTTTTCACAACTATGCCAAATGTTAAACTCTAATACCTGGTATTTGTCTTTGAGTGTTCTACATTCAGCGTTCTTTCAAAAGTAGTTATTGTATTGCCATTCCCAGCAATGGCAGTCATAAGGTATCTATGTGTTCAAACAATGCATAATGAAAAGACTAGTGCAAAAATCTTGCAAATTAATTTAAGAATTTTTTTTAATTTTCCTGTGAAATATATTTAATAGTCTTTGAGCAGAAGGCATCACATCTAAACTCTTGCATGTTACAGGATGTTCTTTGCCACTTAAGTCACCTCGGCCCTGAAGACAGCAACTCTTGATTCATTGCTGTTTAGCTTCTAGAAAGGGAGGCAGTTTAGAAAGAAACCAAGGAGAAAATGTACTGCTCAGTCACAAGCAATAATAGCAAGGCTGGTACAACACAATACAATGCCAGCCTGCCCTCAATGCTGACTACCATGGGTTAATGGAAGGTACTGCTACAGCGACTCTGCACAGCAGCAGCTACAGGGACAGCACAGAGATCCTCTTCCTCTTGCAGCCTCCTAGAGCTCCTGATTCTGAATTAAACCATTAGGATTCCTTATGCTTTCCATAACTTGTAGCTTATATTAATTTACACAAGTTTCTCCCTTATTCGTTATTTCAGATAAAATTTTCAATATGTGTTTGCAAGTGTAAATGCCATAAAACTGACTTTTGTGTGTTAATACTGGACCAGTCCATTGCAGATTAGCTGTAAAACTGCGAGAAAAGGGACAATTTAGGAGACTTCCTTCTCTGGACAGACAATAGACCCTCTTTTGCATCACCCATTTTAGTTTCCTGGTTTGATGAGACCACTGAGGCCCAAATTACTTTCCTCTGAAATGCACCACTGGTTTCCTTTTAGAATCTGACTAAAGCAATGTTGGTTATACAGGACAGAAAGATTAGGACCATGATTGTCACAGTAGCTTTGAATTCCAGAATAATTTTACTAATTTGAAGACACTGATGGAGGGATAGCAATTGTCATTTTATTCAGGTAAAATGAAAGGTAGGTAATCTATTTTACCTGAAAGAATATGCTTCTCCAATCCTATCATCTCCTGCTCCTGTGACCACTGGAGAAAGCAAAAGGGATATGGATTACATTTGGATCTCTGGTTTAGCTTCTTCTCTCTGAATTGTTTAATCTTCATCATCTGCATTTCCTGAATGATACAACCTAAATGTCTCCACTGAAGAATAGAACCAGTCTTCTACTTTTTTTTTCTTTGTGACCTATGCATCTCTTAGTTCATTCAGCACTTTCTGTCTTTAAAGCAAATCTCTTCCCAAGGTAGCCCACGTGGTAAAGAAGGTAATTTTCAGTGATGTCCACAAGCAACAAGTCAATTGATGAAGAGCTGGCAGAATTTTCTTCCATGTACGTATTTTCACAAATTCTGTTTTGCAAGCTTTGAATTTATATGCTGGTGGCAGAATGGTAGGAGATAAAGACTACCTGAAACTGATACAACAATTTCTCACACAAGATTTCTGTCTGTAAGGAAAGATCACATCAAACTTGCCACCACCTACAAAATGCTCTTCTTTCAGAGCTCTACGACACAGTTTACTTTCAGATTTAGTCTTACTGTGAAAATAAACATATCCTGGCATTTGTAAAGTATCCTGAACTTTTAAACTCTACATATAAATACCAAAGAGGAACTATAAAAATAAAAATTCTTAACACCTTAGAAATACAGAAGAAATAATGTAGCAAAGCACCAAGGCAGTTCCAAGGTAAACCTGGTAAGTTTTAGAGCAAATGGAAAACTAGTCAATATAAAAAAAAGTGGATTAAGGACTTCTGTGTTGACAGAGACACAGAAAGCAAAGTGGTTTTGACTGGTTAGGTGTTGCCAACAGAAGAACAATTACTCTCTCATTTCACAGGGAAATGAAATCCCAGTGAAGAAGCAGTAGGTATTAAGTTTCTTAACAGACCTGTAGATGAAAAGTGAAGAGTCTGTTGAGAAACAAGCTTCCACATGCCAACTTTAATTTTCATGATTTTCAGAATCTCACATGCCACATGACAACACAAATTATCTGAGCCCTAAGAATTTTACTGGGGCCAGAAGACTTTGTTTATAAAAACACAGCAATAAGGTAAACTGAAGGAAACAAATCTTTCAACCTTAAGTGAAAAGAAAGATTTTACACAGGAAGTTCCACATGCTGTTCCTCATCTCATACACAGAAGGGAGGTCTTTGCCTCACTTAAATCAAAATGAGACCTATGCAATGTCTTAGAAGTGTGTGGTATTCAGGCAGGTCTTCTACAGGAATGGATTTATTTTATTAATCCACTAGGAGATGTGGCAGTTAAACATGTATTTGACAGTTAATAATATACTTAACTGATGTGTTCTATATATGTAATAATTTTATATATTTAGTCCCATCAAGTCTAATGCAGGAAAAAGGAATCAAACATAAGTCTACTGTTCAGGTAACTTCTTAACAACAAGCTACCATCAGCAACATCAGCAGCCAAGGAACTCAGCAGCACCTGTTCATCCCTGCTTTATACCGATCATCTAACAAGCTTAAGAAACACATGAATGAAATAGGAAGAAGCAGGTGCTTGTCAAACTCTGTGTTATTCTACAAGAATGCATACTATCTAAAAAACACTGCCAACCTGCAGCCTTTGAAGATTTTGAACTAAAGTAAAATTAGTTCATTAATGGTATCATTAAGGATAGGTCAGCAATTTGGAAAAGAATACACTAGAGCAACATCAGCAGGAACAAGAAAAGTTGCTTTGAAAACTGGAGAACATATGCTAGACATAAATTAGCAGCTTCACATACCAGAAAACTGAGGATCTGGGCAATGTTACTAAAATAAAAGCATTTGCAGCAGAGAGAAAACGGCAGAAGTAGCAACAGGGACAGAATTCACGTCTACACACCCTGGTGTGAGCTGTTACCAGTCTGACCAGTTTTCTATTCTCCCCCAGTACACAAAACCTTCAGGTTTATAAACCCAAAGCTTTATGAGAAAAGAAAAAGGAACCAAGCAAACATATCAGAAACTGTGTTTCATTCTGAAGGAATTGGGTAAAGAAATGCAAGGAAAACCATTCTTGATTAGTTATGTAACGATCCACCACCCAATTACAAGCAGAAAGTGAAGCAGTTTCCTTTACCTGCACGTTCTCCCACTGACCAAAAGAAAACCTAAGGCAAAGAACTTCAGATATATGGAAAAGGTCTCTCATTAATCTGATGTATTTTGTCAAAGTACAGAAACAGATCAGACTCCCAACAAGACTGACTAGCTGATGCTGGAACACATCCATGGTGAGAGAAGGTAGTGAGCTTGTATGAATCAGACACTCTCTGCATGGAAAATGCTTCTTTCCAGCACACTGTTCATCTCTGAGCCTTGGTAGAGAAGTGAGAGGATGAATCAAGTCACATGACTTCATTTTCCAGGAAATGTCCAGGATTTAGATTAGAATAACATCACTACATTACACCCACATTAGTAAACTATTGAGAAAATCCAAACTAAACAATTATTTCTGATGTTGGCCTCAGGGGAAATGTTTCACTCCTTTTCTGGAAACTATACAAACACAAAAAACTAATTTTATTGTCATTGTTTACCATTCATAGAGACCGGAGATGGATCTAGACCAAACCTTTAAAAAAGAATACCCCAGAGATCAACACCACTTCTTATAGTGAAGAGATAAATTGTGGCCCAGACATTTCTAGGACAAATTCACACTGAAACCAGAAAAAATATTTATCGTGTTACATTACTGACACCTTCAGACGGAAACCCACAATTGTGCAGATGTTTTACAAGACAATGTCTGAATCACATGGAAGGTAGCACTAGCTTATCTGTAACAAGAAGATAAAAAATCATTACTGACTTAGCTTAACGACAACCCAGTTTTCTCACACTAAAGCTGTCTTAATTTTCCTCTCAGCGTTCACCTCCTAAGTGAGCCAGGCCAAACAAATAAAAAAGGTTTCAATATTACATTTACAAAAGTATTTACAATCAATCACAAATAACCCAAAAAGCACTCTGTTCAAGGAATACTTTAAGTTTGAAGAGGTATCACTGCTTTCTACATGGAAAAAATAGTGCTGAATACCTCTTTTAAATTAATGCCCCAAAATTTAAAAGAATCCCTTTTATTTGATGATGGAATCAAAACACAATCTTCCACAGCTGTCAGTCTTCTATTCTGCACTTCCATGTTCTGTTTCCATTTTCTTTTTCTGTGGTTGGTGATGAGTCTTAGCTAGGTCTACAAAGTGTCATGGGCCCAATATAAGTAAATTAGGCCAAGATAATGAGAAGAAAATTAATAAATCCTTAAGAACGTGAAGAATTCTTCAGTCTAAGTGGTTTTTTTCTTGAGGTAATTTTTTCTTTGCCTCTCTGACTTCCACAGGAATCATGGCAAGAAATTTACACAGTGAATGGGTAGAAAGTCCCTTGGGTGACCACATTTTCTCACTTAACTACAGCAAGGTCACTGCTAAAAAATCCCCACAAAATTTAGAGCATGAACAGATCAATGCACAGGACAATATTTTTTTTTTTTCTAGTCCAGTAATGATTTTTCTTTTTATGTTTACTTGTAAATATACCCTGGCACCTGTAATGGTATGAAGGATATATTTAAAACCTTAAGTTCATTAATATGAAATCTGTAGAAAAGTAAGCAGCTGTATCCTAAAAAATAGGTTTTAAGTTCCCATCTTATTAACTGAAAGACACAATTATTGACATTCTAGATGAAACAGCCATGCAATTTCCTAAATTCTAATACGATAGTTGTGCCTGGTCAAGCCCATATTGACAGAATTTTAATCCAGCAAATTTACTGAAATCAACAGTATCTCAGATATAGAAGAAAACAGAAAGGGACTGAAGCTGAGTTTCTTTGTGAAAGTATGTAAGCAATTGCAAGTACTTCATATAGTACCTATTTCTTGTTATTCCTAGATTTATTTTTTAAATTATTCTGAGTGACACTGTCATAAAGACTACGATTATCAGGTCTGCATTTCAGGTGAGAAATCTAAGTCTGAAGCACTTCAAAAACATTCTATGAAAAAGAAATTAAATAAATCACTTCACTATGGTACAGAATGAGCAAAAGAAACTACTTGAAGTACACTAAAGGAGTTAATAATATAAAAAGCAAATATTAGTGTTGTTCATGTGCTTGGGACAATTTAATGTGTCTATCCACAAAAATAAAAAAAAAAAAAAAATCCAAACAAAACACTTGTTAAAACTGTAATCTGTATCATTTTATTTATAAAAGGTAGAGCAAAATATTAATTAATTATATACAAATGTTAAGTGTTCTTTTGTGGGAACTACATCTTATTTAGCAGGTGCCTTGTGTGTTCATCAGTATTGCAATCAAATGGCACTCATACTAATTTCATAATAAATGAAAACTTTCCAATACCTTGCCTCATAGAAGAGAGTTAAGGTTCAGTAATTGAAATTGTGGAGGTAGAGGTGCTCTTAAGAAAGAGGAGCCTTATGAAAGAATACACTCAAAAATATTGAAGGTTTTTAAGCATAAAGGACATTTTTAAAAAGAGAAGATCATGGAAAAATATTGCAGCAATGCTTTCCCTCCACAGGTCTTCAGCAGATAGAAAATGAAAGTCACATTCTTTGCCAGCTGTGAGAAAATTGACAGTTCAGATTTCTCTTCCCACTTTGACCATGTCTTTAAATGCCACTTCCAGTATCTGCAGTCACTGCTCCTCTTGCCATTCATATCCATGCAGGCAGTCACTCCCTGAAGCTTCTGGCGTGAGTTACCCACATGTTTCTCAGGTCTAATTCAGACTGGTCATGGATGTGCTACATTCAGAGTAATGTTTTCTGATTTTCTGTATTTTCAGATAAGCTATATTTTAATTGAAGTGATCAAACAAGTCATTAGACACCCTGGTTCCATGTCAAAGTCTTTCAAAACCTTCTTTTGATTTGATTATTTTCAAAAATTTTGGCTCATGCTCGCAGGGAATTGAGAACTTCAACAAGATTAATTTCTCTGCTGTCTTTGAACACTTCAATGCACCTCACATTTTCAAAGGTTAAAAGTCTATCCTCAGAGAAACAGGTAAGCATTATCAAATATTTTCAATGAAGGAAATACATATGCAGTTGTTACTGAAATATAGATACAGATGTTATTGTCCCAGATGATCCCTCAGACCATCTGGGCCTCAATCACTGTACCAGCTGAGCCTACTGTAGTCATCCCCAGGCTCATTATGATTCCCTGCTTAGAACCAAAAGCATAAACTAGTACCAGATAAGCTTTTACTGTATATACAAGACACAACAGGACACTAGCCATTATTTAAACACAAGTCAGTCTTCCACATATCTATGTTTCCCTTCCCTACTACGTTTGTACATAGAAGCACCACTTCTCTGCAGCTAGGTGGTTACAGATAAAAGGTGAGAGGAGGGAATGTGATATAAAAAGAAAAATGTACCTTAACAAAAATAGATTTGCTGGTACTGGTTCACAGACACACACACACAAACAAATCTTCAAATATTAAAAAATCCCCTGTCATTTCCCTTCTCTCCTTGATCTGCTGCATGAGGTTATGAGGTTCATTTATAACAACAGTGACAATTTCTGCAGAACACCACAGTGTGATTGAGGATGAGAAAAACACAGAGAGAGAATGCCTAAACAATGTACACACATGGACATAGCCTGTATTTTTTCGTTGACTCTTACACAGGGAACAATCTGGGGGCAAATATCCTCTTTGCCGGTCCCATACGTTCTATATCACTTACCCAAGAGCACATGCATGCGTGAAATCACTAGGATCTTTCATCTCCACACTGATATCTAGGTTTGCATATGGCATAAGGCAATGGTAAATTAAGCCTCATGATCTTTACAGGGAATTTTGCCTCAAGAAACTACAGGCAGTCACTGAAACAAAACTCAAAGATCTTGTTGAAATAGCACCCAAGTACAGGTAAATGCAGAAGTTTACAACTTAAGATTTGCTCATAGCATTCCTTGCTATAAAATGGCTTTCAGATTAAGAAGAAAAAGCTAAAATCAAACTAGTTTGCATGTAAAAAAAATGGTGCGCAAGAATATTTCTAAGCCAGTGAATTGTGTGCATGTCTGTGACAACTGAGGTAGATTTTTTTTGTTGTTGCAAATATGTTCCAGGATATACTTATTTAAAGTCTTGGCAATGCTAAACAAACTTGTATCTTCAGTCTCTTTCAAGGCAGGTATTTTGTCTAAGTCTTTGACATTGGAAGTGCATTCTCTTCATCCCCAGGTTGTGCAGGCTTGCTGTTTCCTCTTAATGTTAAAAATGAGTATCTCAGTCCTCCTGCCATACTAAACAAAAGAGAACGAACAGTGGTGTCAAAGATGTCTGATGTTACAGATCTCATTTCATAGGTACGTACCTTTCCTTCTGAAGAGCTAAAGAACACCAGCTATCATAAACTAGGAGTGCCTAAGAGCTATGTAACCCATCTGAGAAAGTAGGTCCAAGCAGACAAAGATCAATTACCAGTTGATCACACATATTCATACACACCAGTGATCATCTAAGCATAGAAAGTAACCACTCACAAGTTAGAACTTATATTCAATAGGCACAACTCATTCAGTCAATGCTCTCACTTAACACACCATACCTGACTTTTGGAAGCCTCACAGCTCAGAACTGCTGCTCATAAAAAATTAAAAATTCCACATAGTAAAACTGCAGGCATATTTCCACAATTAGGCCTTACCACAGCAATATTTAATGTCTGAAAACAGACATGAGAAGACATAACTAACTGTAATGATTTCTACATCCTGAGGCAGTGAGTGCTTTGTCAGGCCAGTAGTTTCAAAACTACATCACCTGAATAGTTTTGAGTCCAATCAAATTAAATATAAAACTAGAACTCACTGAGAAATTTTCAGCTTTAATAAACAAAGGCTATTCAATTTCACTTACCAAATATTTAGCCCTACAAAGTTTAACATGGAGAATATGTAATCTCCACCAATCAACATTCCGATGTAAGCAATGGATATATTCTGAAAGGAAACAAAAGTCATGCATTTATTTAAGTCAGATTTCATCTCCATGAATACAAACAATATCAACCAAATCACTTTTCTAAGGAAATAGCTATACTGTGTTGCTGACCACTCTAAAATCATCCTTTAGACTAATTTAATGGATGTCAGCTTATGGATAATGCAGCAATAAAAAGAATAATAAGATCAGTATATTTTCTACATGTATACAATGC